CCTGCCTGCGCACAGATGCGGCTGCGTACGTGCCCATCCGTCGTCCCATCATGATGCCGCCCAGCCGCCGCGTGGGACATGACAGGACCGGCGGGCGGGGGGAGAGTAGAGAGGATCTGAGACAGAAATGGCTCACGACGGCGTGCGTTTCGTCGTCGTCGTCGCCGCCGCCGCCGCCGCTGCTGCTGCTGCTGCTGCTGCTGCTGCTGCTGCTGCTGCCATTGCCTACGCGCTGATTCGGCGGTTTTGCTGACGACGTTTGTCTTTGCGGCGGGACGAGTGGTGTGTGGTGCTGTGTAGTGGTGCGTTTTGGGACTGCGGCACATCTCTCCAGCGTTGGGAGCATTCAGCAGCAAGCACTTCATTCGCCAGCATGCGGCAAATACTGTCCAAAAGTCCGTTCTTGGCCTATGCTGCTGCCCTTTATTATGCAGCCTTGAAAGGCAAGTTCCTCGTCGACTCTGTACGTAACGCACATGTATGACTACCGGGCTTTCCTGGTGTTGGGCCAAGGTCCTTGACCACCACCACCACCACCACCACTTCGACTGCAGTCGTCCACTAACGGGTGCTCCTAGGGCGTGCAGCGACGGACAAAGGTCTCGACGCCATGGAACGCACGCACGCATGCATACAGTCGCATGCGCTCGACGTCTGCGAGGCGCCTCCCGCGGCCCTGATTCGCGGGCGCTGGAATTGCGCTGCGACGAGGCCGCAGCTGCATGGAAAGGGGGGAGGGCGCATCTCAGCCTGCAGGCGAAAAAGCTTCACCAACGGCCGCAGTGTGTGCGTCTGTGGTGTTGTCGTCGATTCCGCCATGCAGGTCATCCCCCATCTCTCATCTCACGCTCCCCTTCCCCCGTCTCGTCTCATCGCATCTCGTTTCGTCTCGCGTCGTCTCGCGTCGTCTAGGCGTCGCATCGTGTCATCCCATGTCATGTGCACTTACCTACTGCAGTTACAGCACGCACCGCACAGGCAGTGCTTCAATCCCCGAACACGATGGCGGGCCGCCAAGCCCGTTTCTTCCGGCCCGGACTTTGTGTCATTGAGGCATCCAATTCATCCATTCATCCAATTCATTGCACTACGCGGGGGCCCGACCCTGTCCGCTGGCGTGGACCGAGCCGAACTCCCCGCGGCACTCGCTTTATTATTAAACGTGCAGCCTCCCCGACCACTGCGTTGCGCTTGCGGGCACATCAG